ATATTTATTAAGCTTATACAAAGTTTCTGCTTTAAATATATAAATGATTCATGGAAAGAAAAGAAAAATGAATGCATTTTACACATTTAACTGACAGAAGGCTCTGGCAAACAAGTAATTTGAAATAGGCTTTTCCAAAGTTTGAATACTCTCTCATGCAGACTGATAACATGCCAAGAAAGCCAAATTCCTTTCTCATGTATCCAAAAGGCTAAAATTTTCTGCTTTGGGATAGGTGGCCTTTAGTATCACTCCCCGAATGTCTTCCCCCAGGGGCCTCTCTTTATTCATCAACCAGCTTGTTAAGTCTTTAAGTTCTGTGGGTTGGAAGGAGATATAAATGCTAAATAACAAAACCCATAAACCAACTCCAAGTGTATTATATACTCAGAAGCTAACTTAGCTTTTTACATAATCAATGGGAGCAGTTATTCCCTTATGGGCAGATGGCTGTGATTGAAATATTCTGCTATTAATGTCAATACATTACCAGGACATCCAAGCAGCATTTTAAAAAAATAATTTCAATAGAAAAAGGATGGCCAATCCCACGGGCTGTAAGACAAGTATTACTTTCATAAAAGGGAAAAGCAAGCATTATTTTCTTTGGAGCCATTGTTTGAAGGCTGAATGTTTTAATGTAATTGATCTAAGTCTACAAGAAAACTCTCCAAACAAAGCTATAGTCTTAGTCTCTGCTCTGTGCAAAACCCACATCAAAAGTCAGACCTTTGCTTCTCAAATGTAAGGTAATCAGAGTGGTTTTAACTCATTTTACTTTATAATACTCTACCCATACTCCTCTGCAAATGTTCCAGGATCTAAGTCCACAGCCCATACAAGTTCCTTGGCTTCTTGACAAAATTAATAAGGAGCAAAACAGCTAAGGGAATTGTGGATTGAAAAATCACAGACAAGACCTGGTCCATGATTCAGGGAAGAGCTGGGAAGGCAGGTGAATGGTTATAGTTAGGGAAATGGTATGCATATTAATTTGCTTTTTCCAAATTATGGAAAATAAAAATAATTTTTTTCTTTGTACCTGCTGAGAGAGACAGCAATTACTTCTACCTGTTCCAAATGCAAAAAGCTCTATTTTCTCTTCAAGGAATTCTGTTTTTGATGTTTCTTCTGTGAGAAACTTATATTCATCCTTCAGCTCCTGGGTTCAAAGACATTCTCATTGTGTGTTCTCATAGAATTTTCTTTTTCAAAGAAGCACATGCCAATAAATATACTTTATAAATTTGTCAATCAACCATGATGGTATTAAAGGAAAAATTCTGATAATACCTTATGTATATCTTTTGAAGTTTTATCTCATGAGTTATATGAATAATGACTTATGATGGGGGTTTTGAACAGAGAAGAGATTTCTAGGCATCTCTTTTCTCTGTTGGATATTTATTTTTGTATTCCCAACATATCATATAATATTCTACATGTAGTAGTTGCTCACTGACATTTGGGGTACAAAGGAAGGCAGGGGACTAGGCATGGTGGCTCATGCCTGTAATCCCAGAACATTGGGAGGCCTAGGCAGGAGGATCACTTGAGCCCAGGAGTTCGAGACCAGCCTGGGAAACATAGGGAGATCTTGTCTCCACAAAAAATTTTAAAAAATTAGCAGGGGAAGGTGATGTGTGCCTTTAGTTCCAGCTACTTTGGAGGCTGAGATGGGAAGACTGCTTGAGCCTGGGAGGCAGAGGCTGAAGTGAGCTGTGATTGTGCCACTGTGCTCCAGCCTGGGTGAAAGAGTGAGATCTTGTCTCTTAAAAAAAAAAAAGGCAGATAGGTTACATGACAATGTAATTATTTCCACAGAAATTTTAAAATTATTTATGAGAGGAGTAATTTTCCCCTCAATCAACTGACCTGAGATCCAAGGTAGACCAATGTGATTTAAATTCTCATGAAATCAGGAATTATACCAAATGCCCAGTTTCTCATTGTTTATTGGTTTTCCTGTGGGCTACTGAGATTGCTTCCTAACTGACTTCCCTGCCTCTATAATGATCTTCACTTAACTGCTAGCTGTCACTCACAAATACAGTCTTTCTGTAAAAATATAATGGGTTCCCACTGCTTTTAGGAAATGTCCACTCCTTTAGTGTGATATACAAGACTCTCCTTGTTTTGTACCCAACCTTCATCTCCCCATCTCCTTCCAGAGCTCTCTCTCTACCTTATCCTAGTCTCACCAGACTATCCTCACCATCTTCCATGCAGGATGATTTTTAAACTTTCCCTTAGCCATACCAATTTTCAGATGAGCATCTTTCCTCACTCCTGGTTTCAAGAGGAGGAATTTTTCCTAAGCACACCCTGGGCTTTCTCTGCCCCTTTACTCAGTTGGCCACCCAGTGAATTTGAAAAGACTGACTGGGTTTGCTCAGCTCTGCCTGGCTCTGCTTCCTCTTGGCAGCTGCCTGCCTGCAGAGAACCTGAGATTTCCCAGCTCCTCCAGAAACCCAGACCCTGAGGATATACAGTAATGTGAGGAAGTAAAGACTCACCATGGAATTCTGCTCAAATTTGGAGTGTCATTAAGCCTACTTGGCCAATAAAACTAAAGTCCCATCTCTTCACTTATCCCCTATAAGTAATTTTCAATGATATCTTGGGTTCCACCAAGTATTTCTTTTTTTCTCAGATTGATCAGAACTTCAATGCAGAAAAGGGGTACTATTTCTTTTTTTATTTCTTGAGTCAGGGTCGCACTCCCTCATTCAGGTTGGAGTGCAGTGGCATGATCTTGGCTCACTGCAGCCTTGACCTCCCAGGCTCAAGAGATCCTCCAACATCATCCTCCAGAGTAGCTGAGACCACCCAGCTAATTTCTGTATTTTGTTAGAGACAGGGTTTCACCATGTTGCCCAGGCTGGTCTAGAACTCCTGGGCTCAAGTGATCTGCCTGTGTTGACTTCCCAAAGTTTTGGAATTATAGGTGTGAACCACCATGCCTGGGCCCCTGGGGGTACTATTTATTTTAGCCCATCAGAGACCCAGAAATCCAACTTTATTGTTCAGCTGTTACCAGTTCCTGAGGGCCTTCCTAACTTCCTTAGCAAGTATTAATCATTTATTACTTTATGGTCCCATTTTTTAAAGAATATCTTTTGGTGATTATTGTATTCTGCCTTGATTTAAGGAGAGCTTCTTCCACTTAACTGTAAGTAAGCTCATTCTCACAGACTCCCCAGCCCTCTCAGGTAGTATTCTGATTCCTAGAGTGCTTCACACTCAAAAGATAGTTTAAACACATGCTTATGAAATAAAACAAAAATAAAAGGTACAATACTTAGGATCCATACCTCAGAACTAGAAAAGCTGAAGGGACAGGAATAACATAATAATCATTAAGGGATTGCCTGTCATACCGCAACACTATTGGGAGGTATCCTGCTGAAATGGAGATGACAGTTACTTGGGTGGCCTCATGGTGTCCTTTTATGGGCCTTAACTATGGGGCCTCAGCTGTGGTCAGAGACCTATAGAACATGCTGAGTTACTTGGGTGGGTATTTCCATTTCACCTGTCCATCTGGATTATGTCTGAAAGAGCCCAGTTTCTTAGGGATTCGAACAGCCAATTTCAGTTCAGCTGTCCCGCACTTTTAAAATGAAGCCTCGCTATTTCTCAGAATCGAACCCAGCTAAAGTGACAAAGTGCCTTGACCACCAGGGAGAAATACATTAACAAGGGTTTACATTCTTCCCCTTGCCGCAAGGATGTCTACAAAGCTATTATTTCCTCCAGCTGAAATGAACAGGAACTATATGCCTGAAATGGGAACCTAATTCTGTTCCCCCCGAGGTGACTGGTATGCTTTCACAGCTCAAGTGCTGTAAGCTACGGATGACCTTCATTCACCACCAAGTTCATTAAAATAACCATTATCATATATGAGACAAAGGAAAGGCAATGATTATTCTGAATCTAGTAATGGTATTTCATCCAATTTCTGATCCACAGTTGGGAAAAGTGATAAACTGTTATTTGATTATCTGGGCATCTTTTCCCAAAAATAACTTACTAAGTCTAATCTGATCAAATCTTTACTTATTAAGTCTAATCTGATCAAATCTTTACCGTGACTAAATCCTCGGTGAGAAATATGGGTGACAATGTTGTGGGGAACCTTCTTTCCTCTGGAAAAGGAGCTCCCTCCAGTTTCCATGCACAGGGAGCTCCATTAGAATGGCATGTCTAGCCTCTTGTCTTTCCTTTACTTCTTTCCACATCTAGAATTGAACAACCTGATTGGTGGTGACTATTGTCTGTTTCTTCATTGGGTAGAGCCGATCCTGCAGTAATGGGAAAATTAGCTTGTTTCTTCCTTTTCCTCCAGGGTCCAGTGCCAGTCAGTTATCTTGGTAAAAATGTCTGCTACAGACCCAACTTTCTTCTCTGGTGAGGTGTTTGGAGCTGAGGCAGGCCAGCAAATCCATTTGACTGTCACACTAAGTCATTAACTCCAACAAATTCACCATTAATGAAAATGATATTTTGATCTCCACCTGCCTGACTGTGGTGTCTAGCTCTCAGTTTGAAGACTTGATACTTGATTGTATCTAGTCAAGAGTGGGATACAATTTACTGGATCTCTCCAAACTCCAACACCATGAACTACAATACAGTCATGTCTGTTTCTGACATTCACTTTGCAGCAGCATTGAACAAACTTGAGCCTCTGGTTCAACTCTGAACATGAACTTTTTTTTTCAAGTACAACTATGACTTTCTCTGAAAGACAATTTTTTCTTGATGTCTTTAATATGCTTCTTAAAGAGAAAAAAACAACTGCAACATGGCAACATGTTAAAAAAGCTAATTACAAATGGAACTAGAACAAAGTTGCTTGTGAATTTCTGGGTTGTAGTGAATTATTTAATGTAATGAAGTCCACTGGGCCAACTGAATGTAGATAATTTCTCTCTCCCTAAGGAGAAGTCGTCATTGCTAAGCACCTGCCAGGTATAGGCACTCGGCCAGATGGGTTGCATATCTTACCCAATCTGCTCAACAACCTTCTGATAGAGAGATAGTTGACCCTTGAACAACATGGGTTTGAACTGCATGGGGCCACTTATATGCAGATTTTCTTCTACCTCTGCCAGTTCTTGAGACAGCAAGACCAACCCCTCCTCTTTTTCTTTCTCCTCAGCTTACTCAAAATGAAGATGATGAGGATGAAGACCTTCATGATGATCCACTTCTATGTAATGAATAGTAATATATTTTCTCTTCTTCTTCCTTATGATTTTCTCTTCTTCCTTATGATTTTCTTTAACTTACTTCATTGTAAGAATACAGTATATAATACACAAAATATCTGTTAATTGGTGGTTTATAACTTCTGGTCAACAGTGGGCTGTTAATAGTACTTTTTTAAGCAGTCAAAAGTTATGCATGAATTTTTGACTAATTCTCTAAGTCCAGCATTGTTCAAGGATCAACTATATTGTTATTTCCATTTTACAGTTAAGGAAACTGAGGCATAGAGGGTAAATTGCAAAATTCACACAATTAATAAGTATCAGAACTGGTTGCCAGCAAAGTCCTGTTAAGAAATTTACAGTCTGAATTCTTGTGGTACTACTGAGTTTTCTCTCACCAAGATGACCATATAATTTATCATACAATCAGGATATATCTGCAAGTGAAGGGGTCATCATCAGTAATTATTCTGGGATGACAAGTATAAACTAGAGTTATTTAATCCTGAACAAGCCTGTATATACAGTCACTCTACCTTGTTCATATCTTAGGGTCTCAAACTGGTTTCTGGTAGCTTTTAAATATAGATACCAATCTCAGATTTTTAAAACGGGGCCTGAGTTTGTTCGCTGTTCCTTTGTTCTTCTCTTCCTGGCTTAAAAGGACCAAGGCTCACTGTTTAGCTGTTTCCTGGGATCAGGTTTCTCACTCCATCTAAATCACGGGTGTTCATTATCAGAGCTATTTCTTTCTCTAGCTACCCAGAGAAATGAAGCTCCAGGGAAGGATTAGATCATTCAGCAAAGGAAAACAGCAGCAATATAGCAGCGCCTGCATAAATCTTATAAGTGGAAAATATGAATTAATTTTTTTTCACATTCTAGCATATACCTTAATGGTGCTGGAAATAAATCCCTTCTTTTGTTCTCTCTTATAAATGAATGCCCCATCCAGAAATAGAAAGATGAGGAATCAGGAGACAGTCATGGCCCAGAGACACGCAATGGGTGCTTTCGATCCTTAATCACTGGAGTATTTAGCCCCATGCCTCCTTTGTCCTGTCTGTGAAACATCTACTTGGCTTCATTCTACTGCTGCCACCAAAGATCTATTTGAATGCAACGGTAAGGGCTAATATCATTATTACAGAGAGTAGACTGTCTTAATGTTATAAATAAGAAAGTGGCACTTTAAGGATTGCTCTTAAAATCCCGATTCTAATGTGCAAAAACTAGTTTGTTCATTGAAAGTATCCCAAGAGGGGGTGTGTAGAAATCTAAACCTCAAATGGCTCTCAATTTTAGCATGCTTCAGAATTCTCTGAAGGAGGAGTTATTAAAACACCCACAGAACTGGACCCCATCTCCAGAGCTTCTGATCAGCAGGTCTAGAATAAGACCTGAGAATGTGCATTTCAAGGAGGTTTCCAAGTGAGGTTATTCCTGCTGGTCCCAGGACCATACTTTGAGAACCAGTGCCTAGCATAAAGCTGAAGGGAAAGGAGATTTTTGCCTATAAAAATAAGTGAAATCTAAAATGTGCTTCCTGGAGGAAATGTATGCAAAATCCTGGAATGAGACTGAAACACCCATGAACAATATTTCTTCCAGAAGACTATTTTAAGGTCTAAACCAGGCATCAGCAAATATTGTTCTGTAAAGCATCAAATAGTAAGTATCTTCAGCTTTCAGGCCAGATAGCCTCTGTTGTAACTACTCAACTCTGTGGTTATATTGTGAAAGCAGCCAGAGACACTACGTAAAGAATGAGCGTGACCACATTGCAATAAAGCTTTATTTACAAAAACAGATAATGGCATGCTGCATTTGGCCCACTAGTTGTAGTTTGTTCATCCCTGGGTTTAACTAATGAAGTAAATTACATAAGGCAACATATATTAGTCTGTTAAGCCTGTGTGCGCCTGTGATCAATGAGAAACTAACCAAGTTGGAAACCTGACTGTAAGGCAATCTTTGATGCCTATTTTGGTTGTACAGGATTGATAAAATAAGCACCTGCATTATAGAGGCAAAGAGTGGGAGATACAAACTCTTCTTGTAATTCAGTCCCTAAGACTAGCTATTTGGGACTATTTGAAAACAAATGTGCTACGATTTCACCCAATTTTAATAGGTGTTTCACTGCACTAGTAAAAATTGCTTAGCTATATATTTAGTACTTTTACTATTTGGTGCTTTGTCTAAAAGTAAAGAATATCTTTTCTATGTAGCAGGGTAATTTATTGAGTTGTTAATTAATTCAGATTTTGTTTTCCATTTGTTTTTCCTTCTCCTCATTTCAAAAGAGGCCACTGGGGTGTCTATTCCCAGGAGAGGTTTGTATTGCTGGCCAGAGCTGCTAGAAAACAGAACTTGCCTGGAGAACTTTTGTAAAAACAAAACAAAACAACATCCAAGTCTACCAATTTTCCGAAGGGGAAGAAGAGAAGAGCAAGTGTCTTTGATGGGGAGAAGGGGGAGCAGATGAGATGAGGAAGAAAGGGTCCAAGCAGAGCCGTGGATGGAGAGAGAAGAAGGGACTCCCTGACAGTCAGTCCCCAGGTCTCTTCTTACTTAGTCTGTCAGTAGCATTTGACACAGTTGGCCATTTCATTCCTTCCTCTTGGAAATACAGTCTTCACTTTGGCTTCCAGACAGTGTTGAAGGAAACCAGAATATTCCATTCTAAAATATGCCTCTTTGACATGAATATTTTTAAGCTAGGAGCAGCTGCAGAAAGGGCTGCCTGGGCTGCTCTTTCTTACCTATATATAGCAAGCCGTAACAATTCCTGGAGAGCTTCTGCCTTGCCTTTGTTTACCCAAAAGCAGGACAGAGAATTACAAAGACAAAAGGTTTTTTACCCTCCTCACTCCCACCTCTCCCATCTGAAAACAAGATAGAAGTTCTCTTTGAACAGACCTTTATCAGCTCAGAAAGGAGCTAGAGTGAGGAAATTTTACTCCCCATCAATTTACTGTCCCACATTTTCCCACCTCTAGGAGCCTAGGACTGACCTCCTCTTTGCCTTGTCACTTTCCCAAAATGTACTATTCTGGCCCCGCGGTGGCTCATGCCTGTAATCTCAGTACTTTGGGAGGTGGGGGAGGGTAGATACTTGAGTCCACCAGTTTGGGATCAGCCTGGCCAACAGGGCAAAACTCCATCTCTACTTAAAAAAAAAACCATTAACTGGGCATGGTGGCAGGGCCTGTAATCCCAGCTACATGGGCGGCTGAGGCAGGAGAATCACTTGAACTCGGGAGGTAGAGGTTGCACTGAGCCAAGATCGTGCCACTGGGCAACAGAGCAAGACTCCATCTCAAAAAATAAAGTACTGTTCCTTGTCGGTATACTATGTAAGAGACTTCTTCTTCTTCTTCTTCTTCTTTTTTTTTTAGACGGAGTTTCGCTCTTGTTACCCAGGCTGGAGTGCAATGGTGCGATCTCGGCTCACCGCAACCTCCGCCTCCTGGGTTCAGGCAATTCTCCTGCCTCAGCCTCCTGAGCAGCTGGGATTACAGGCACGCACTACCGTGCCCAGCTAATTTTTTGTATTTTTAGTAGAGACGGGGTTTTAACATGTTGACCAGGATGGTCTCGATCTCTTGACCTCATGATCCACCCGCCTCGGCCTCCCAAAGTGCTGGGATTACAGGCGTGAGCCACCGTGCCCGGCCGAGACTTCTAAACCACTGCTTTTGAACACATCCCCCACGTGATGTGCAGTGCATGTGTTAATAAAGTTGTTTTTCTCATTAATTTCTTTTGCTATAGAGGTTTGTCTCAGCTACAGACTTTATAAGGGTTAAAGAAAATTCTATTTCCTCCCCTTCAGTGCTCTCTCCTGGTTCTCTCTTACCTCGCTAGCTGCTTCTTCCTCTCCTTTGCTAGTTCCTCCTCACCTACCTGACATCTAACACTAAGAATGTGCCAAAACATAGCTCTTGGTTGCCTTTCCTCCCCTCCCCTTCTCTTCTCTCCTTGTCTCCCCCACCACTCTATTAGAAATTTCTGCTATTTCCCTGCACTCCCTTTCTGCCTTCTCTTTTTTCTTTCTCTCCTTAGTGCTTATCACTATTCAATACACTATATATTTTAGTTATTTTCTATCTTCTCTGCAAATGCAAGCTCCGTGAAGGCAGGGATTACACAGGTAACCTGTCTGAGGGGGACTGCTGTGAAGTCCACCACGGGATTCTGAACCTGAGGGTGCTGAACCCTGCACACCAGTGATGCCAGCTGCAGCCAGGATCCCTCTGGCTTTACTTTGCTTGGGAGTACCAGAGCTACCCACTTTGCAGAGATCAAGTAAGCTTGGACAATTATTTTATCAGTGGTTACTTTGGCTGACAAAAGTTAAGAGGCTCTTTCTTAACTTTTCAAGTACTCTGTAAGCATGAGAGAAGGAGCGTGATCATGAGAGAGAGGAGAGAGGCAGAGGAAGGAGGAGGGTGGGGTGGGGGGAGGGAGTGAGAGAGTGAGAGAGAGTGGGAGAGAGAGAGAGAGGGAGAGAGAGAGAGAGAGAGATAGACACACCTAATAAAAGATTGACTTTACCAAAAATCAGGTGGAAAGGGTCTTGGAATTGGATTTGAATAAAAGAAAATGTTTATTATGTGACATTTCCTACATACCTAAGTTTATGAACAATAATTCATATACCCCATAAGAGTTCTTCTGACTTGAATAATGAAAAATAAAAGAAAACAAATCCTGCTTTACATGTGCAAAAATAGAATCTAAGAGTGAAAATACAAAGATGAAGCGAACTTTCTACTTCTCCCCAAACTCTTCATGTGGGCATGCCATGTTTAATTGCTGCTTGTTTCTCAGCCTCCCCCAGGATTTTATAATACATTCTAACGTGCCCCAGAGTTGGTGTGCACTTCCTTTGTTTTCCCTCTGGGTGGAAGAAATGGTGCTAATGAGGAAGGGCTCAGCTCAGATTTGTTTGATGACCAGAAAACCTGACTCTTCAATCTTTTCCTCCCTGTTTTAGCACAGGCACACCTGTTTTGTTACCCTGCCTCGTTCCAGCAGGAATTGCCCAGAACCCCATGTGAACCCAGAGATGCCAAGGCTCCTTAGCCAATGAGAGTTCTTGATTCCTTTGCCTGCGATTTAAGACTTGAATGTTTGCCTGCTGGGTTGCAGCACGTGAAACTCATTATGCAGCTTTGAAACCTGGCCTCCAACACAGAATGAGAACAGCCTGTTCAAGAGGAGAAGGACTGTTTGTTTCAGCCATGAGTGCCAAAAGAGAAAAAAAAAAAAATAAACGGTTTCCTTATTTGGCCATTTTAGAGCATAAAATCTCTATTTTCTTCATTTCTCAAGATCGTGGGTTCATGATCTTGAGCTGAGGGTTCAAGGTTAAAAAGTTTTTGGGCAGGTAATCATGCCTGTAATCAAACACTTTGGGAGGCTGAGGCAGGTGGATCACGAGGTCAGGGGTTCAAGACCAGCCTGGCCAATATGATGAAATCCCGTCTCCACTAAAAATACAAAAATTAGCCGAGCATGGTGGAGTGTGCCTGTAGTCCCAGCTACTCATGAGGCTGAGACAAAAGAATCGTTTAAACCCAGGAGGCAGAGGTTGCAGTGAACCAAGATCATGCTACTGCACTCCAGCCTGGGAGACAGAGTGAGACTCTGTCTAAAAAGAAAAAAAAAAAAGTTTTAAAATAAACAGCTTTATTAGTGACATCTGGGAGTACTATATATAGTCAATTTCCAAGCCTATATTAATGATTCCTCACTTTTACATCCATTAGTTTCAATGACCTGGCATATAAATAATATTTTGAAGAGACAAATTATTATAAATCCTAGGAAGGGACTTTGAAGGATCCTGTGATAAATTCCCTGGTCTTAAGATAATTATCTCAAGCAAATTAAAATCTCAGCTCACTTTTTTTTAAGATCCCCAGGGAATGAGATACCTTATCTTCTCTAAATATATCTCACTATAAAACTGTTGATCATGTCAGAAAAGTGCTCAGTCAGCGTAAGTTTTCTCATTACTTTTTTGTGTGTCTTTCTAAAGTTAGCCATGCATTTCTACTGAATGCATTGATCCTAATCTGGAATGAAAAGCAACCATGGGCAATCATCATTTTGAATAAATGAGGGAAAATCAATAGTTATTTCTCTTTCCATGGAAATGGAAATACCGAATCCACGGTGCGTTGGCTGTGACAAAATATGTAGCCTACGATTCTCCAAATTCATAAGATAAAAATGATTTAACAACAATCATGATTCAACAGGAACACAGGTTTCTCAGACTAAATGCTTTTATGGCCATGAATTGGAAGTATGCGTGATGGTCTTTGCCTATACACATTCCTATTTATTTATCTTTTCTTTCTATGTCATTATTGTTTTATGATTTGTCTTTTTAAATAGCTTTTGGTATCTAATCCCTTCTATTACATCTCTGTGTCAGGCTGGAAATCAGAGCTAAAAATAAAGCCAGGGACAGGCTAGGAGTGGTGGCTCACGCCTATAATCCTAGCACTTTGGGAGGCCGAGCGGGTGGATCATGAGGTCAAGAGATCGAGACCATACTGGTCAACGTGGTGAAACCCTGTCTCTACTTAAAATACAAAAATTAGCTGGGCATGGTGGTGCGCACCTGTAGTCCCAGCTACTCGGGAGTCTGAGGCAGGAGAATTGCCTGAACCCAGGAGGCAGAGGTTGCAGTGAGCCGAGATCATGCTATTGCACTCCAGCCTACTTCGCTGTAACAACAGCTAAACTCCGTCTCAATAAATAAATAAATAAATAAAGCCAGGGAAATCAAAGAGCAGTATTTATAACAACAACTTACTGAGCACCTACTTGCACAGGCTAGGCACTATGCTAGGTTTTCAGGATGACGAAAATGAATAAGACATGGCTGTGCTCTATAGGACCTCACAATCTACAGGAGATGGGAGACTGTGAAGACTCGACTCTACCGAAAGGAGCCCTGTGTGGGAGAGACTGATATGGAGTGCTGCAAGAACATGGAGGATGTGGTGAATGTGGGCCTAGGAGGATACTGGGGATGAGTTGGAGGGAATACTGGGGATGGGTTCTGGTAAGATTACAGAGAGGAGAAGAGTTTTAATCTGAGACCTAGAGGAAATGTAGGTTTTCACCAGGTAGGTAGAGTGAGGAGAGAATGAAATTTTAGCAAATGTCAGAAAGAGACAAAACCACATCCAATAGGGTATATCATTTAAGGGAAACTGTAAGTATCTTAAAATGGGTGGGACATAAGATCTACATGGTGTTATGTTAGGGGAAGAAGCTATAAAAACAACAGATGAAAAATGTGAAAGGTCTTTCAGTTAGCAATGAAATAAGGAAGACACTGGGTCCTATCAAGATAACAGGTTCCTATGTGATGCTAGGAACCTATTATACCTGACCAATAACAGTAAACTTTGCTGACTTTGAGACCAAAATGCCAGTCAAACATTTGCAACCCAAATCTTTCTAATCTGAAAAAGGAGCCCAAAATTCTTCCCTGAATGTAAAAGTGTCTACGAGATCTTAGAATGGTGGACAGCTCTCCTGTTCAGACCTTCATGTTTACAAGAACCAGTCCAGTCCCTGAACAACTAATTCCAGTGTAGAAAAGTGTCTGCTGAAAAAGAGAGGGCTTTATCTTGAATAAGAAAATGGGTGAGATAAACATGACAAGCAAATACCAAGGAACCAGTTTCACTAAAATTTGCTTTGTTCCCTCAAAGTTGTTTTCTTTTGGATTCATTATCTTTATTGACAAAGTAACTTTTCATTAATAAGCGTGACAAATACTTCAGTTACACAGCCAACTGTGTCATTTCATAAAATGAAAAGGCAGGGGTATAGATTGTGTTGTCTTCTCCATACAAATTATTCTTTAGAGGGAAGACCCTCCAAAAAGCAGGAAAAGCTTTAAACATGTCCACTTGAGAGGATCTGAAAAATGACATCATCACAGTCTAAAGTGAACTGATCATAAATTTGGTATTTGTGTTTTGGAAGGCCTTTCCCTTGACAGTTTGAGGCAGCGGGAAGTTTGTGTGATTGGGCTGAACACATTATAGCACCCACAGAAGGAAACATGTTCTTGATATACAGTCATGTGTTGCATAATGACACTTTGGTCAATGACAGACCACAAGTACAACGGTGGTCCCATAAGGTTATAAAAGAGCTGTAAAGTTCTATCACCTCGTGACATCTTGATGATCCTGACCCTGTGCAGGCCTCATTTAATGAGTGTGTTTATGTCTTCATTTTTAATAAAAAAAGTTTAAAAACTATTTTAAAAGGACAAAATAGTTTAAAAACAGAAAAAAACTCATAGAATAAGAAAAGAAAATATTTTCATATAGCTGTATAATGTGCTTATGTTTCAAGCTAAGTATTACTGCAAAATAGTAAAAAAGTTTACAAAGTAAAAAAGTCAACTAAGGTTAATTTATTTTTGAAGACATAAAATTTTGAAAATAAATGTAGGATAGCCTGTAGTGTTTATACAGCTTATAGTAGTGTACAAAAATATTTTAGAACTCACTCATTGACTCACCCAGAGCAACTTCCAGTCCTGCAAGCACCATTCATGGTAAGTGCCCTATAAAGGTGTACTATTTTTATCTTTTATACAGTGTTTTTGCCGTGTCTTTTCTATGTTTAGACACACAAATACTTACCATTGTGTTACAACTGCCTACAGTATTCACTAGTGCATAGTAACATGCTATACAGGTTAGCCTAGGAGCAATAGCCTGTACCACATAGCCTAGCTGTGTAGTACACTTACCATCTAGGTTTATATAAGGACATTCCTTGATGTTCATGACAAAATCGCCTAATGATTCATTTCTGAGAATACAGTATCCCCATTGTTAACTGATGCATGACAGTCTATTTAACCTGTCCAGAGGAATCTTCACTTCCTTTTCAAGTCACATGGTTTGGACCCAGAATTATTAGTCTTTTAGAGTATATTTCACTCCTTCCTACTTCCAGAGCTCCCATAGAAGAAGTTTTACTATGACCTTTAACATATAGTGTTCTTAATCTCTCTCATGGGACAGTTATGGGCCCAGTGATGGAAAATTTCATGTCATGGTTATTCCAATGCATTTGATGATGGTGCAATGATCAAAAGAGATGCCAGTGATGACAATTGAACGTCCCTTTGCCTTCCCAGCCTCCTTCATATATTCTCAGGCATAGGATGACAAAGGGAAGTCCACGAGTCACATGAAGAAAGACTGTAGCCAATGGGTACACAATCAGGAGGTCCTCTGCTTGTCTCCACCCACCCTCACCCTCCTCTCCATCACCCTATCCTATTTCCTCCTAATGTTGTTTCTCCACCATCTTATAACTAACCACCATCTTCTTCCCAAAGTTTTGCTTGATGACTCATTCCAACCAAACCAATGCTCAACTTGTATCTGGCAGAGTTGGTGCTCAGATAGTTGCTGGATGAAATAAGGATCCTCTAACTCTCCAAAGTAACAAAACTCTAGGGGAACAATTTTTTTTTTTTTTTAATGAGACAATGCTTCCATGCATAGAATGAAATAAGGTGTTTTGAAATTACATCAGTCTAGGTTTGCACCAAGCTGTCCCACTAATTGGACTTAAGGCAAAGGCTTAACTTCTTGAAGATGCTATTTTGTCAACTATACAAAAGTAAGGCAATAAACCCTATTTGAAGGGTTTTTGTGAGTATTAAAAGAGATAGCATATATGAAAATGACTAGCAGAGTGCTTGGTACCTAAATAAATGCTTATTCCCTCCCAGTAGTGTTGCCAAGCTATCTTACAAGGTATCTTTAGGATAATAAATAATAGGGAGTAACTTATTTCTGATGTGGTTGAGTATCAGAAGAGATAGAGATAAAACAACAGTCTAAGGGAGTGATATTGTTAGGAAATTATAAAGGAAATGAAGACTTCTGTGGTTAATTTCTTGGTTGGCGTTTAAGAGGAAATTCAAGTTGTTCATTAATTATACTTACCAATTGAATCTAATTGACAACTACCCCAAAATGAATAAAACAAGCGGGAGTCAAGAGGGAAAAACGGCAGGCATCCTGTCAAAAAATAAAATCTTTGAAATTTCTACAACCCTATGGTTGCATACACATTTTATTAAAGCAGATGGATTACTCTATGTAAATTTATATATGTGATGGCAACTCAAGGTGCACACTGAAACCTATGTAGAGCATCACCCAGCACTTCTGCACCAGCTATATCTTGTGTCACCACTCCTTCAACTGGTCTGGTCCTTAAAAATCATAGACCTTTGCTGGAGGAAGTATCTTTCTTTATTCTTTTTCAGCCTGGATAGCTGCTATAGTGTGGAAAGGGTCAAATGTTAGTATCTTTTAAGTGCTTGTACTGATGCTTAGCACTTAGTAAAACCTGAAGAAATGTTAGTTGCTGTTATATCAATTATAATGATAATTATGAATCTTTCAATTCTGTTTTCCAGGACAGAATAGGAATTGAATTCTTTCCTTTCCTCCTTTTAATAACATTTTCCTGATTTCTAGAGAAATAAGTATTCTATTTTCAAGTGTTTAGCTACTTTTGACTTAAAAGAACTATCCATTTTGAGGCTAATCTACCCAATTTCTTTTCTTTTTAAAACAAGAATTGAAACAAAGCTCAAGTATTATTCAACATGCATAACACTATTTATTGGACTGATTCCTCTTTCTCTCTCTAGCTAAGGTATACACATAAATATGTCTGTTGTCTATGACTGGATCTACCTATCTTCCAAAAAAGTCATCAAAACCACTTCAGTGTAATTGACAGGTTGTCTGTCAATTTGGTTATACTTTCCCAAACTGGGAGATACATTTAATGGTAAAATCACATTCCTGGAGTTGCTAAGCAAGCTAGCCTTTGGTCACATGGTTCTGATTTCAAATCTAGGCCTTGGAGGAGGACCCCATGAGTACTAGCAGCTCTGCTCTGCCTTCATTTTGTTCGTTCCTTAGAAACAGCATTAAGGGAAGACTTTAGATCCTCAGGTTAGGTCTCTGGACCCTGGCTTGGCATCCTGGGATTAAGCTAGACTTCTAGAGCAGCCTCCCTTGTGGCAAATATTAGAAGGTAGGAGTTTGGCAGCTGGTAGCTGGCTGATGAGAGGCATGTAGGAAATCACCTACTTTTCATGAAACATCAACATCACTTGGTATATGTCAGCATCCATACCCTGGCAAAGCTGCCTTCTTGTAAGAAGGCACTCACTGTGGAAAACAAAAAGCAATATCCCTGGAAGCACAGACTCTAAGGGTTGGTTCCTCTGGATTCTCAACAGTTTGTAAAGTAGCCAACCAAGAGTAACCACTGTACATTTTCAAGAAAGTTCCCAATTAGTGTGTTTCTGAGGACGTAAATTCAGCTTTCAAGCATATACGCCTCAGGCCATTCTACCACTGTGTATGGCAATTAGACTGCTGGCTTAATATTATCTGCAAAGCTTCAAATAGGCAACACCACAAACCCTCCTGGATATTTAGTACAAGTACCTGTTTATGAAACCAAGCATAAAATTGGCTTAGCTATGTTTTTCCTGCAGAGTGAATAGCATGCTGGTATTTTCAGCTTATTTTTCCCCCA